GCAAAGCAATTATGCAATCCGACTTAATTTGAAATAGATGAGGAAAAAGTTAGCATTGGATACGAAATGGCACGGAGAAAGCTTTAAGAATTAGAGTTATTTGTAAGGCTCGGGATAATGACCACTTCAACTATCTAACCCAAGCAACAAAATCAAATGTGTATCTCCTAAAACTAGCAGGAGCTACACGTCGTACTCATTAGGGATGGCAAGATAAACGATGCAAGTTTACGTCGCAGGAGAAACCTAGAAAAATTTTCAAATCGTGGCATTGTCAATATCTCAAAATATATTGATTATGGTTATCATAAATAGCAGATAGAGAAGATGCTCATAGTGGATCACAAGGAAAAAATATGGCAAGTATTTTCAAGATTATAAGAGCTATAGTAAAATAGCCAAATAAGATAAATTTCAATAGTAAAATGAATAGAAGCAAGCATTGTCATGATTCGAATCCCGCTTGGGGTGTTGACAGGACCTATGCGGTCGAAACTGCAGTCCACCATGGAATTGCTTGACATGCCTTATTTCGAAAACCACTAGTCTAAATCTAATTGCTCAGCGTTGCAATGCTAGTTTAGCCAAGGAAAAATAGTGGTCTGGTCGTTTAATAGCCACTCGGAATATATGAAATATTCAAAGGTACCAACGTTCATTAAAAGAAAAAAGTATGCATAACATAATTCAAAGCAACAAACATCTCGGCGATTGCCGACGAATTTCAGGGTAAGCAAGTTAAGAAAAAATGATAGTGCTAATCTTATTTATCTAAACGATACAAACAAAATCGACGCAAACAAGAAACGATACCAAACGTACCCTGTCCGTGTAAATATCCATAATCTCCTTAGCTGCTTGAGAAACACAATCACGATCTCCGGAGATGACGATGTCTTCTGCGGGAATTATATGAGGTGGCATAAAAATCTTAACGTTGAGTCTGCTGGCCAATTCCCTAATGTTGTCTCCATTTCTGGAAAAGATAATACGGAATTATATTTAGACAATGGGACTAAAACCCGAAGTATTAGAGAATATATCGTTAAGGGACAAAGTATGGATCAGATGATGGCATTAAATTATGCAGTGTTGAACATCAGAATCACAGTATAAAACACGAAATAATTGGCCGTTGGCAACAAATATAATACATCGTTTTTTATAGATATAATTGACAGAGCAGACTTACGGTCCAGAAATAAATGGATGAAAGACTTTAGGTACGATGAGACGCTGAGTATCCATGCGAGACACTTCATCGACCACCTTCAGAATGTGTTGTTTGGCATCCTGCAAACACTTTTTCGGCCCTGTGATTACAACTAAATCCG